AAGCATGTTCCATGGGGTCACACCATATGGCAAATCCTAAAAAACAAAAAAAAGGAAAAGGAAAAAGATATAAGTGGTGTGTCTTCTTTGTATCTGACTTCTTTCACTCACTGTGTGAAAACCATCCACGTTGTTACATGGAGCAATGGAGTGTTCATTTTCATCCCTGAGTACTTTCCTGCTATATGATTGTACCACTGTTTATCCATTCTAAAGTTGAAGGTCATTTGAATTGTTTCTGTTAGGTCATCAGGAAAGTCGTGACTTTTTTTTAATGTTTTTCTATGCAGTAATGTCTCATGGGTGCTGGCGGATGGCATGGTGGTTATGGGCACTGGACTCCCACATGGCTGACCATGATTCAAGTCCCACACCTGGAGGCTTTGTCTCTCTCTTTTTCTCTTTCTCTTTCTCTCTCTCATGTGCATGCTTGTCCCTCTTTGGTCAAATTAAAATAAATAAATAAATAAAATAGTCGTTTTTAAGGTAATGCTTTATGACTTCCCGACGACCCAGTACTTTTAGTGCTGCCATGAACATTCACATGAGCGTCTTTCTGAAAATATATGTATGCGTTTTTTTGGGACACTCATTTAGGAGTAGAATGGCTGGATCATCTTATGTGCCTGTATTCAGCTTTGCAGATTCTGCAATTAGTATACAGAGCAGTTGTGCCCATGTACACTTCCACCAGCAGGGTTTCCGAGCTCTAGTTGTCAGCCTTTGATTTTTTTTTTTTTGAAGAGATTTTTGCTATAGAGTGTGTGCACTTGCCAGAGAGACAGAGAGAGGTGAGAAATCACCCCCCAGGGGGATGGCCACACTGCAGTTCCTCCATTCTCCTTTCACGATTTTGAGTGCACATGAACATGCATGCTGTGTGAGTTTCAAGCTGCTGGGTCCAGGACTCGAACTGTGGTCAGCCATGTGGGAGTTCATCGTCTTTACCACCACACCTCCTCCTGACTCCCGACCTTTTATTTTAATTTAAATTTTCTTGATTGTTTTTAATTTTAGTTTTTGCTTTAAGTCACATGTGTTAGCTAGAAAGAGAGAGAAATCATTTCCCCACTCCTAGGGTAACGGCCCCACCACAGTTCCTTCTTCATTCTGCTCTTGGGATTTTGGACATGCACACATGCATCTGATATGATTTTTCAAGCCACCATCTTGTTCAAGACTCAAACTGTGGAGTTAGCCATGTGAGATCCAGCCACCTTAACCTCCATTCACCTGCTAACCCTAGGCGTCTTTTATAAATGGTGGATCTCAGAATAATAAATATTTCCAGCAGATTACCATCAAACCTATTACCTTTTCCGGGGACCAGCAGTTGGCATAATGGCTATGTCGCGGGACCCCCATGTAGTCAACCGTGGTTCGTGTCCCGGCCCTTGTGGCTTAAACTCACGCTGGGCATGTGTGGGCGTGCCTAAGATCCCGAGAGGAGAATGGAGAAGGGATTGCGGTGTGGCCATACCCCCTGGGGGGTGATTTCTCACTTTCTGTCTCTGTCTTTTTGGGAGTGCACGTGCCCTATAGCAAAAAACCCTCTCCCCCCCAAAAAAACTGTTACCTTTTCTTTCAGCAGAATCATTTTAAGATTTCATAGTCAGGAGGACCTGAAGGTAGTGTTGTGGTTAAGGCACTGGACTCCCACATTGTTGACCCCACGGTTCAAGTCTCAGACCTAGCTACTTGAAACTCACACTGTGCTCATGTGCACGTGTGCCCAAAATCCCACTGTATCTGTCCATCCTCTCCAGTGATTACACATGCCCTCTGGCAAAAAAACAAAAAAAACTTACAGTCAGTTGTTTGAATTTGTTCACAGAACTATCCCTGTGATTCCTCCAAATCCTTGCCCCCAAGCTTGTTTTTTGTGTGCTCTTTACAAATTGTCCCCCTTTGTTTCCTGGGGCCTTCTCTTACGTCCCTGAAACAGCCCACCTGGCATTTGATTGCTGCTGAAGGGAATCCAGACCTAGTGTCCTTTGAACAGCATGGTCATGTGGTGGGTACCTTGGCCGTTTGTCTTTCAGCTATGGGATTAGATAGGCCCCACATCAGTCCCTAGCAGTCATTCTTCTGATGCTCCGACTTCTTTCTCATTTACCCCCTCTAATAGGATTCAGTGAGGTTATGTGCATGATCTGGGTAAAACCTAAGTCTGATTGTATCACACCTCTGCTCTGAACCCTTCAATCATGTCCCTTCTCAAGGTAAAAGTCAAAATCAGCACTACTGATGTTCGTTTTTCACAGAATTCTTTTTTCTTTCGGAGAGGTTTTTGCTACAGGGCACGTGCGCTCGCCAGAAAGACAGAGACAGAGAGACAGAAAGCGAGAAATCACCCCCCTAGGGGGATGGCCACGCCGCAATCCCTTCTCCTCCATTCTTCTCTCGGGATCTTGGGCATGTGCACACACGCGCCCAGCGTGAGTTTAAGCCACCGGGTCTGGGACTCGAACTGCGGTTGACTACATGGGAGTCCAGCAACATAGCCATTATGCTAACTGCTGGTCCCACAGAATCATTTTATTTTATTTTTTTAAGAGCTTTTTGCAGAGAGACAAACAGAGGCAGACCAGGGGGGTCGGCCACACTGCAGTTCCCTCTCCTCTGTTCTCTTGTGATGTTGGGCATGCATGCACACGTGTCTGGCCTGAGTTTTAAGCCACCGGGACTGAGACTTGAACCACAGTTGACTAGATGGGAATCTAGCAATTTAATCTTTATGCCATCTGCTGGTCCTTTTTTTTTTTTTATCGTTATTATTATTAATATTATTTTAACGACCAGAGAGAAAAGGAAAGTGAGAAAACAAGGCATCAGGTCCCATGCTCAAACCATAGTTGACTGTGTGGGAGTCTAGTGCCTGAACTACCACGCTACCTGGTGGCCCTGCCACTGACGATTAGGGCGGACCATTGTTGTGTTGGAACTGACCCGTACGTGCGGGATGTTCAGCAGCATTCCTTGCTTCTACCCACTAGATGCCGGTAGCACTCTCTCCAGCCCCACTGTGGTCAGTGTGCCCTGCAGGGCAGAATCGTCTTCATTGGGAACCACCGCTATTATTATTATTATCATTTTTAAATCTGGCCAGAGAGAGAGAAATAGAGGGAAATGGAGAAAGCAAGCCGCCAGGCCAGGGACTTGACCTGTGGCCCAGCACCTCAATCACCATGTCACCTGCTGGCCTCACCAGTGCTTTATTTGGAATTAAAGTCCCAACATTTTTTGTTCCAGACCCACCATATAGTCTCCCATTTCATTCATTGCTCCGGTATCGTCGGCCTCCATGCTGTTTATTAAACAAGCAGCCCAGGACCTACCTCAGGGCCTGTGTATGTGATGCCCGTGCCTTCTGAAATGTTCCCCCAGATATCCATATGACATTTAACCTTTCTTATTTTGAAGAATGAATTATTTATTTATTTCATTCCATTTGATGATAATATTTTTTTAATTTGACCAGAGAGAGAAAGGGAAAAGGAGAAGGACCAGCAGTTAGCATAATGGCTATGTCGCTGGACTCTCATGTAGTTGACCATGGTTCACGTCCCGGACCCAGTGGCTTAAAACTCACGCCGGGCACGTGTGCATGTGTGCCCAAGATCCCGAGAGGAGAATGGAGGAGAAGGGATTGCGGCGTGGCCATCCCCCCTGGGGGGTGATTTCTCGCTTTCTCTCTGTCTCTCTCTGTCTTTCTGGCGAGCGCACGCGCCCTATAGCAAAAACCTCTCAGAAAAAAAAAAAGATTCAAATTTTTGTTCAGTCACTTGTCATCTGTGTCAACCTGGGAATTTCCCAACCATTTCGTTTCTCAGCCTCATCTATAAAATAGGTTAGCACCCATTTTTCTTTCATAGTTGTCATAAGACAGAGGAAACACAGCAACCAGTGTTTCAAGGGCTAGAAAGTAGAACTTGTGGGGCCAGCAGATGGCATAGTGGTTACATCGCTGGACTCCCACATGGCCAACCATTGTTCAAGTCCCGGACCCGGTATCTTGAAAAATCACGTTGGGAACGTGTGCATGCGTGCCAGGAGGAGAAAGGAGAAGGGATTGCGGCATGGCTATCCCCCCCAGGGGATGATTTCTCACTTACCTTCTCACTGTCTCTGTCTCTCTCCAGTGAGCACACGCACCCTATGGCAAAGACCTCTTTAAAAAAGAAGAAAGTAGAACTCATTTCAGCTGTTTAGTCTGTGTCCCTAACCATTGTAGTCCACACAGATGTGGCTGTTTATTACCACTTGAGAATTTAACATCACAGGAAGTTAAGGGGGCATAATGATTTAATTTTTTAACGATTTATTTTATTTAATTTTTATTTATTCATTCATTTATTTTAATTTCACCAGAGAGAGAGGGAAAGTGAGAAAGCAAGCTACCATGTCCAGGACTTGAACAAGCCATATGGGAGTGTCCAGCACCTTAACTACCACGCCACCTGCTGGTCTCCAATTTAATGTTTTACTTAATGTTCTGGAGGGGAAAATATCTGAAAATTCTGACTTTTTTTTTTTTTTTTTTTGAGAGATATTTGCTATAGGGCGCGTGCACTTGCCGGAAAGACAGTGAGAGAGAGACAGAAAGCGAGTTACCACCCCCAGGGGGACAACCACGCCACAGTCCCTTCTCCATTCTCCTCTTGGGATCTTGGGCATGCACACACACACACGCCTGGCATGAGTTTTAAGTTACCGGGTCCGGGACGCGAACCGTAGTCGACTACATGGGAGTCCAGCGACATAGCCATTACGCCATTTGCTGGTCCCAAAATTCTGACTTTTTTGAAGGTCTGGTTCCTTTTGAGTATCTGCTCCTACAGAGAAGAGTATTCCGCGTCGAGCTGGTGCTGTCATGGTTTCCCCTCCTAAGTAGCAGTGGCTTGTGCAGCCTTGAGAGTCGAGCAGGTATCTGGGTGTGTGACATGGGTCACCCCTGTCCACTGGGCTGCTTCAGGACCACCTTTCTCTGTATATTTCAGAATCTTCCCTGGAAAAGGAGAGGGAGACTCCCAGCCCCATTGACCCCAACTGTGTGGAGGTGGATGTGAACTTCAACCCTGACCCTGCCGACCTGGTCCTCTCCAGTGTGCCAGGCGGGGAGCTCTTCAACCCACGGAAGCACAAGTTTGCAGAGGAGGACCTGAAGCCCCAGCCCATGATCAAAAAGGCCAAGAAGGTCTTCGTGCCTGACGAGCAGAAGGTAACCTGGTATCCTTTACGAGCAGAGGTGCAGTGTTGGTTCCAGCATTGGGGCTGTGCTCCTCACATTAGATTTTATTACCTTTTTGTGATCCCCACTTAAAAAGACATGAGTTCAGTGCATAGAGCCACTTCCTGTGCAGCTTGGTAGACATAAAGGGAGCCAGGTGGCGCTGGCCCTCACGCAGCTCCCCGTGGTTTCCCTGCCCTCCCCGAGGCCGCCGGCTGTTGCTGTTCCTGCTCTGGCTTTACCCCAGGCATGAAGCCAGAGCCATAAGGCCCCAGGAACTAGTGCCGAACTAGAACTCATTTTGAAGGACAAAAGGTATCTTGTATGCAGGCCACTCTAGGCTGATAGTTCTGTGAGATCTGCTGGGAAGAGGGGATTCTGTGGCCTCTCCTATGAAGAACTCGTAAGAAGGACTTTTCACCCAAGCTTTGGAGCAGGCACACCTGGGTTCCAGCCCCACTTTGTCACCTGTGACCTAGCTGGGCTTCATCCTCATCTCTAAAGTGGGATTCACCCTACCGACCTCTGAAGGAGGTTTCTGAGCCTTTAGTAATGATGCTGCTGATCATAATGAACACTGAGCTGGGACTTAGGGCAGGCCAGGCACTTATTAGGAGCACTTGGTAATGTGATCCCGTGTAATCCAACTCTGAGGAGTTGCCGTCTTTATCCCCCACTGTAAGGATATGGAATATGAGACATTGAAACTTACCAGATCCAGGACTCGAACCATGGTTGGCCATGTGGGAGTCCAGCGCCTTTAACCACCACACCACTTGCCAGCCCTGTTAAGGAACTTTCACGGTTCCATTGCCAGTACTCTTGGAGAGCCAAGATTTCAACTTAGGGGGCAGGACCCAGGCTGCAGACCCTTAGCCACAACCAGAACACTTCAGTAAGACAAGAGTGTAGACAGATTTTATGCTGGGGCAGCACACAGCAGGCCACCAGCCTCTGGACTCTCCTTCCCTCCACCCTGGAGCTGACTTGGGTTCTCCCCCTGCCCTGAGGAACAGCGTCTGGGCACATGCAGCTCCTCCCCAGGGCACCGTCTCCAGTTCTGGCCACATCAGAGTTATGAGGGAATCTGGGTGATGGGAGGGGAGGATTAGGCTTCCTCATGGGGAAAAACGAGAGACCCACAGAGGGCACTTCCCTGCAGGATGAGAAGTACTGGACAAGACGCAAGAAGAACAATGTGGCAGCAAAGCGGTCTCGGGACGCCCGGCGCCTGAAGGAAAACCAGATCACAATCCGGGCAGCCTTCCTGGAGAAGGAGAACACAGCCCTTCGGACGGAGGTGGCCGAGCTGCGCAAGGAGGTGGGCAAGTGCAAGACCATCGTGTCCAAGTATGAGACCAAGTACGGCCCCTTGTAACCTGTGCCCTGCCCGGGCAGGGCGCTGCCTGCACCCAGACCTCTGCCTGGGGCTCCCTGAAACCCACGTGTGCGTGGAGACTTATGACTCGTCACGGGCGCATGGCGGCGCACCTACTCCGGGAGCGTCCACGTCTCAGCTTCATGATAACAGCCAGCGCGCACAGCGACTTCCCCGGGCACCAGCCTCCTCTGGTGGGGAACGCGAGAGCATCTGTGTAGACGGGTGAATCGGCCTTACTCTCTATCCTTGGGTGTCCCGGTTGAGTTGGAGTAGAGTCTAGAGTAGAGTCTCTCCTTTCACAGGGCGCTCGGGCTTCCCTGACCCTCCCTCTGTCTCTAGCCTGGGCTGCCGAGGGCTGTCTCTGCAGAATGAGTTGTATTTTTGTCTCTGTATGTCTTCTCAGGTAGCAGGGCGCATTTCCACTTGAGGGGGTGTCTGTCACACACCTCACTCTCCTCAGAGAGGCTTCAAGAGAAATACAGGCTGCCGTCTTCCCAGGAGGTAGAAGACACACGAGCTCCTCTGGCAGCATCTGCGTGGGTGGCCGGCCAGGGAGTGGGTCTGCACAGACGGATAGGCTGTGGGCCGGGGCCTAGAGCAGAAGTGTGCCCGGCCACTCAGCTCCCGCACCCTTCTCTCTTGTGGCTCTAAGGCCCGAGGTCTGGAAGCCAAGGAGCAGGCCCTGACGATCGGCTCTTTGTGGAGGAGAGACTCCCAGGCGGCTGGCCTGAGCCCCGATCAGCAGTGCAGAGGGAGGCCTTCCATCTTCCCAGCCACCCATGGAGGCCACTAGCCTGGGCCCCTGGGCCTGCTGTTTCTTTCACCTAGTAACCAATCTCAGACCTGCATTTAAAAGGAAACCCCCTCACCTGGGAAGCTTTTCCTTCCTGGACCCTGGGACTCAGCTTCCACACAGTGTTCAGCCACTGGCCTCCACGGCCCCTCCTGCTAGGCACAAGGGCTGGGCGTGTTCCCCGAGAAGAGCAGTTGTTCTTGCTCTGCTGGCTGGTGTGGTTCCGGCCGGAATCCACCCCCTTGAAGGCAGAAAGGGCTTCCCAGTTCTTGCTCCAGGACCTGTCCTATGAGAGTTTCTCGGAGGGCAGGGCACCTGTCGGGTTGCTGAGGTTACAGCTCAGCTCTTAGGGTATGGCAGGCCCTTGGGACATTTACACAGGCCTGACCTTCAGTCCTGGACCCAGGAGATGGTGGCCAGCCTGGCCATAGGGTCCTTGCAGCTAAGGCTTCCTCAGCCTTGCAGCTGCCCCCTTTCTCTGCTGTCTGGCTGGACTTGTTCTTTTCTCTGCCGGGAGATGGGCTGAGGAAATTCTGGAACCCCTCACCCAGTTGGAGCACTCAAGACGGGTGTGCTTATTTGCTCAGGGTGGGTGTCTATGTGAAGAAGAGATTGAGGGGCAGGTGTGCTTGGGTGCACTAACACTGAATTTATTTAAAGTGGGGGCTTTGAGTCACAGGCCCCAACCTCGAAAGGCTTTGCGTAGCAGACATTAAGACCAGGGGAAACCATCACTGGCTGTGGACTGCACCGGGGGATGCCACGGCCTTCTGGGGACCTGCACACCCACCTCTCCAGGGGCCTTGACAAGGGTCCCCAAGGCCGAGGGAGGCCCTCCTCCCCAGGCCCCTGACTTTTACTCTGGTTCTATAAAACCGTGTACACACTTCCACTGTTGTCGCCTCACAGGGCAGCATCCAGCATGTCAGTGTCCTGCCCTGGGCAGCTCGCCCGCCCGCGCACTCTCCTCTGGTCTCCTCCTCACCAGGAGGGCAGTTCTCATTTTGTTACTGGTGGAAGAGCCTTGAGCTTAAAAGCTCTTCATTTACTTTGGCCAGCAAGTGTATGGTTTGTGTTTTCTTAGTTTGGTTATTTTAAGAGATGGACAATTCATCGCTGGCTGGCATCCATGTTCTGGCCCCAGTGGGTGGGCTGGTGGCTCAGTGTCGCCCCTCTTTGTCCCACCTTCTCCTGTGTGGTGCCCTCCTGTCCTTCCTCTCAGGCAGTGGGCTCTGGTTCCTTCCCAAAGTACTTACTAGATGGAGGATGACTGCCAGACTCTTTAGAAGAGCCCTCTTTGAGTCAGAAACCTGGCAAGGACAGGCAGGAAGATGTCCACAGTGGTTGACATTTGGGGAAAGAGAAGCAGTCAGGGAGATTTGTCCCCACCCCTGGCCTAGGAGCGAGTTCCTTGAGGGAGTGGGTTGGTGCCTGCTCAGTGCTGTTACGAGGTGGGCGTCCCTGACCCGTTCCGGGGCCCTCTCCATCCAGGGGCCAGTCCCTGGGCAGGCTCCTGTGCTCAGATCTTTGACATCTTCCCAGATGTACCAGAGGCTGCAGAAGACACTTTAAACTTTGCTTCCCGTGGGGTGCCC